GGCCCAGTGGGAGATTCCGCCATCAACACAGCTTAGTGTAGATGGAGGAATCTGTTGCACTTTTTCCATCTGACCCTAGAAAATCTGCAGATAATCTATAGGTGTATGGCCAGCTTAAGGCTCACCAAAGACAAGTGATTATCTGTATGTCAGGAAGCACTAGATATTTGTTGGCAGATCTACAGGAGATTGTGACATGTGTGGTGAGCTTTAGCTTGTCATAAATGTTTAGATTTCACTCGTTCAGCCTGCTAAACAGCATGGATGGAGAAATCTCTCCTGTCTGCAATTGTATTCAGAGAGTTGCAGCACCTGTGGCTGTCATAACAATAAATGCATTGCAGCTTACCAGTCCTTAGATGCAGTGGCCACATTCGTTTTCTTTGTCAGGCTGTTTTTCCACCTTATGATCCGGTCAGCATTACACTTCCTTTCGAGGGTGACATCGCTCCCTCATTATAACAATGGTGTTGACACCCTAAAGTGGGACTACAGAACACCCCCCTCCTTCTCCATAACAAAAGGTCCACTGAGTAAGCTAGAAACAATGTAACTCAGAAAATTGCTGCACAGGCAGAGATCACAGGAAGTTATTGGCTCACTAGATTTGCTGCAGGATCAGCAGGAATTTGTTTTTTTTATCAAGCTTATCAAACTGGTATAACAAAAACTGTTCTATATTTAAAAGATGAAAATGCAGCAACTGAGAGAAGTTCATTGTTAGAATTGACATACATTGATCTGGGTTCATTAGTGGGAAAAAAAAATTGAGAGTTAAATACTACTTCCAATAAATAAAAATTGCCCAGCAAAGTATTTCTTTACACTTTTGCCCAATCGATTACAGTCATCATGCTTCCAAACAGCTCCAACTCTATTAGCTTGGCTTCCCTGAACTTCTTGTCCAGTACAGGATCACAAGGGACAAAGCAAACTGCAGCAGCTGTCCACCTACTATACTGGAGAACGGAGGAGGGGGGAGCTGGGAGGAGAGAAGGGTTTTGCCTTGCTGTGCCTGTGGAGACACACACAGCTTGCTAGCAAACACACAAGGGCGGCTCCATAGGACCCTACAAAGGAAAGGAGCCACCCTAAAACAGGATATCAGGACCAGTGCTCAGGGGACCAGCTGATTCTGCTGATTCTTCTGAAAACTTTTAGACATAAAGGAGCAGAATCCATTGTAAGTGATTTCATCAGCATTTTGAATCGCTTAAAACATTTTGACTTTATCACTTTAATATAAAAGAAAAAACATCAACTTTAAAACAAATAAAAAAATGCCATAAGGTTGGTGCTCGGTGGATGCTTTGCATTCTCCAAACATACATTTTGTAAATGTAAAAACGCCCTCCTACCTGTTAAAGTATACTGAATACTTGGTATACACAAGAGATTGTCCTTTAATTTTTTTACTTTACAAAGTGTCTCTTTAAGAATGCAGAATTTTTAGGAAGTCAATAGATTTGGTATTGGCCGACATCCGCTGCGTTCTATCACAGCGCGGACAGATAAGAAGTCTTGATGAATGTCAAATTTTCAACATATTTTCTAATATGATTATGAAGAAAATATGTTCGATAATCCATTATGGAGCTCACCTTGACAAAGGTCACAAAACGATGGTGGTTTAGCTAGAGAGACTCTTCAGGCAAACTTTCGAGGGAAAGCAAAGCCACCGGGCTGATTTATTAAGTACGGCACAAAGCAGTGATTATGTGCAGGAGGAAATAACCCACAGCAACCAGTTCTACCTTTTACCAGCTCAATGCTGGATCAATGATGAAACAACACAACTTTCTGTGGCTAACAACAACGCCTTCCACACCATCAACCACCCAATCCTGCTCCCAATTCAGCACTGGCACAGGAGCTGTTTAAGGCTACCGGGGGGGGGGGCGATAATGAGCATTTCTAATTATGGAATATTTTTGATATTGCTTAAAGGGTTAGTTCACCCTTTCTCAAAAAAAGGTTAAAAGGTGAGTTAACTCAAAACACCCTCCCAACCCCAGAACCGTCACCCAATGCCCACACCAGCCACTTGAGAACTTCACTGGAAAGCCCTGAAAGATGTTTAGCAACATCATTCTTACAATGGGGAGCAGTTACTGGTCAGCCCGGCCACATGACCATGCTAAGCAATGAGAATGTCTTCTGTGCCGTCTTTTTTCCAGGACTGCTACCCAAAAAAATGAAAACTTCCTACTGTTTAGAGTGATCACATGGTCAGCTAAACAATGACCTCTTCCCATTGCAATCATCATGTGGCTATACAGCAGGCTTAAGCAAACTCTGTCCCCTCCAGCTGTGGTGAAACGGCAAACATTACAATGTATCTGCCTCTTGTAGTCATGCCTGTGGCTGTCTTGCAGTGCCTTGTGGGATTCATAGTTGCACCATAGCTGGAGGACCAGAGTTTGCGTGCCCCTGGTATACAGCTTCCGTGAACTTTTCAGGTGTCAGGACTATTGTATGGGCTGATGCCGTTATGAATAGGGATGCACCAATATATCGGCCGACTAAACATATCGGCTGAAAATGGCACTTTGACGATATGCCGATATAGCGGTGCATTCCTGCTTTCTCTCCTCCCCGCTGGGCACTGCTCTGTGTCCCAGCGGGGAGAAAAGAAACGGTCACAGGAGGCCCAGCGCTGCTGGAGGAGAGCGCTGTGAGCAGCTGGCGTCTCTCCTACCCGCACCGCTTAGCCTCCTGTCACAGATCAGGAGAGCGGCCATGTGGGCAGAGACAGCCAGCGCCATCACAGGAGGCCGGCCAGCAGTGCGGGGGAAGAGTCAGCTGTCAGATCGAGCTCTCCTCCCCGCACCGCTCGCTCATTCTCCTGTGACAGCTGTCAGGAAGGAGAGCGGGGACAAACACTCAGTGTTTGTAGATAATTGAGGACAGAGTATGTTTACTATATCTTCAATTATGAATGAATGGGAAGTGCTCTACATCACTTCCTGTTCATTCATGATTGTGGATATAGTAAACATATTCTGTCCTCATGTTATAAAATGAACAGCAACACTCAGTATAGAGGATTCCTGTTCATTTATAACAGGGGATGCAGAAAAAGAGATTAAGAACTTTTTGCTCTCAGTCTCTTTTTCTATTTTAAAAAGGGAAATATCAGAGGTCTAGATAGACCCCTAAAATTTCCCTGAAGCATCTAAAAGAAAATTAAAAAATAAACATATTTAATAAAAACGAATAAATAAAAACAAAATGTAAAAAAAAAAAAAGTTTATAAAAAATTAATAAAAATAAAATGTAAAAAAAATAAAATGTAAAAAAAATAATAGTTTTTTTTTCAGGTTTAAAATTTTCATTTCCGTGCACCTCCAGTTATGAATATATTGTTTTTATATTTAGTTGATATAAGAAAGCACATATACATTTTTTTTTAAATTGTATATGTAGTAGAAGCATACTGTTGTTTATGATAAGGAAACCTTTGTACAGCTGGAAATAAAAACAACTTTGGGGGACATGTATCAAGCAAACCTGGGAGAGGCAGCTTGATCTGCATCTAAAGCTGGCCATAGATTGCTCCATTTTCGGCCAAATTCTGATTTGAGCTGCGGGTGGCCCTGCCGGCAAAACCTGGATTAAGAAAAATCGATGTTTCAATTGACTTTTGGTAAAGGAGCCAGGTGGAAAATTGTCAGCCGAACAGTGACTGCAGCCAGTTAGAGACCCACACAAGGGAGAAGATACAAACTCAATTCACACTGTCCTTCTCGAGGGATTCAAACCAAAAGCAAGCACATCAGGCGGAATACTGGGGCTTCCATCCTTGATTACAATTTGATATATAGACATTTCTGTGCCTTCAGACCGCTTTCAGAAAAACGGAAAGAAATTCAAACAGATCGGATATCTGATAATGTAAATTTTAAAGGACAGTGGGTGACACCCTTTCTCAACCTTTTTACCACGGAGGATCCCTTGAAATAACTTTCAGCTCTCGGGAAATCACTACCAGTAATTATGATATCTACAGCTCATGGTTCATTATGATGGTGGTCAGTGGGAAGAAAGTTCCTTACATTGGTGGACAGCGAGAAGGATGATACTTACATTAGTGGACAGCGAGAAGGATGATACTTACATTGGTGGACAGTGAGAATAAATGCTCCTAACACTGGTGGACAATGATAAGAATGTTACTTACATTGGTGGACAATGAGAAGAATGCTCCTAACAATGGTGGACAATGAGAAGAATGTTCCTAACACTGGTGGACAATGAGAAGAATGCTCCTTACACTGGTGGACAATGAGAAGAATGCTCCTTACACTGGTGGACAATGCGAAGAATGCTACTTACACTGGTGGACAATGAGAAGAATGCTCCTTACACTGGTGGACAATGAGAAGAATGCTCCTTACACTGGTGGACAATGAGAAGAATGCTACTTACATTGGTGGACAGCAAGAAGGATGCTCCTTACACTGGTGGACAATGAGAAGAATGCTACTTACATTGGTGGACAGCAAGAAGGATGCTCCTTACACTGGTGGACAGTGAGCAGAATGTCCCCCGTACAGAGTTAAACACATTACTGGTGTAAGATGTTGTTTATTTGACGGGCAGAAATTGCTCCTTGCTCAAGGAACCCATAGCAACCTCTGGAGGAACCCTAGGGTCCACAGGACCCTGGTTGAGAAAAACAGGCAGGATAAATGCAACTCTGACATAATAGAGTTGAACTGTACTCACCCTTAAAGCAAACAGCATGCTGTTTAATTTTCTAGAGACTGATTTTTGCTCCATATAATAAGCCTGCTAGCTGATATTAAATAGAAAGCACATTACACGCCCTGGTGAGTGGTGACCATACTCGGAAGGACAGTAGAAAAGATTTCACATCTTCATGCCAAAGTTTGGTGCCTGCTGCAGCTTCCTGTAGCCCTTTGAATGCTCAATAGACATAGTATAGAGTGCCCCTGCTCACACACAGTCTGGACTGCAGCAACAGTATGGTGTCTCACCTGCTAGCAGTTTTTACCGAGCAATTTTTCTTATGTCCTCGATCTGACCGGGAATCTCGTAAAAGCTGTAGACAGAAAAAAAAATACAACTTTAAGAACACTATTTTAAGGCAGCTGATATAATTCAGTTTAAATGCATTTACAGGAACTGGAAAAAAATGTTGTTAAGTAATGTACATACTGTTATGATCCATCCACACATACTGGCTGGGCCAGTAAAAAGGTGACAACACATAGTAGACATTGTAATTCCGTGCTACTACCCCATCTCCTGCTTGCCTTTTAGGCTTTTATTGAAGAACACAACACACCCACCCAGAGCTCTCTTTTTCCTGTAAGCCCAACTAAGTACCTCCACCTCTTAACCATCTGCATACAGAGCAGAGATGCCCACCATACGCCTTATTCCAGCTTTTGACTGACGGATTTCAGGTAAACAAAATGAAAAAAATATTTATTAAATTGCAACTCAACAAAATGTACTGTGTAGACAACTGTGAATGTATTATATAGAATTTCTGCAGTTTTTTTTTTGTCAAGCATGCTGATTGCATAACCCATTATTTTCAGAGAAGGGAAGCAGGACAAGGACCTTCCCTACCTTTCTCGAGGCCACATCATTATTTTTATGATCGTTTTTTCACATTTTCTTTTTCAATATTGCAGGAATTTTTTCCAAATTAATTTTCATCTTGACTTTTTTTCTTTATTTCAAGAACACAACTTTTGCAAATTTCAGACAATTTTACAAAGTTAGTCAAAAAAGGGAGTTGGTCGGCCAAACGAGTTTCCTTAGAGAAATTAACTCTGAAAGTATTTTGGATATCATAAAATCATCACGAATCAGAACGCAAGATTTATTCTTACACAAAAACATGTAAATAAGGCATTGTTCTAAGGAAAGGGAGGCAACATGTTTATCAGTCTATGATATCGAAGATGTCGCAGTGTACAGGTGACCATCTCCTGGCTAGAGGACACGCAGTGTCACATTGTCCCCTGTCACATAGTCAATCTCCGCCGTCACATTAACAATCAAATTCAAGGACATCTGTTGCAAGTGACGTTTTCCTGATACTGACCGAGTAAATGAATGCTCTTCAGGCTGTTTACAGGTGGGCTGCACGACGATAACAGATGCCCTATCTGATATTTTATACCAATTGTACATAGATGTCAATATGCATATTGCCGAAGCTAAGGACTTTCCAAACAACATGACCCTGCTGCTCCATCAGAGAATGTTTAAGGACAAACTCCAGGTATATTAATCAAAGATTTTCCTTTAGAAACTGATTCATTAAAAATGAGGTATGCGCTGATACTTTTCAGATGCCAGTGCCGATACTTGGCATTTTCATGAGAACTACCAGGGTGGCAGCGGTTGCAGCTGGGACCTGGCTCTGGCGCTCCACCACCGTCCTGAAATCATTAGTCTGTATTGTTTTAGAAAAACTGTCACATGACAATAAACAAAAATGTATCAGTACTTGTATCCGTGAGTACTTGGGCAAGTATCAGCACTTCTACTTGCAAAAATGGTATCGGTGCATCCCAATATTTATATTTATAAAAACAAAATCATATATTAAAACGGAGATGTTCAAATCCCAGGAATAAAGCCAACATAAGTAAGTAAACCTGTCTTTATATAATACAGTAGTCCCCTGCACAGCCGGATTCGGACTGAGACAGTAAGAGATGACAATGAGGCTCTACTGTGTTCCATAGAGTTGCCAATCACTTTCAACACTGGAAGTAAACTGCCTACTTCATCAGTGTGCCGATACTCCTTTACTGTCCAATCATCAAGCTGGGGGTGGGTTAGTGACCAAGTTATTTTGCTTAACTAAAGTGGAGAGAAATGAAATCACTGACCTGGCTACACAGTGTGGCAGTATGCCATCACAAGGCTAGCTGAATGGAATAACATGTCTTTGCAGGGGTATTTAGTTATTTGCTCCTTTGCTGGCTAGAAGATTTTCAGTACGGGAGGTTTTGTTGTAGATACCTCATGTCGAATGCCCCTCTACATGCTCTTTTGAAATGAAAGCAGCAACAAACACCCTTAACCACCTCATTGTAGTTGAACGGCATGTCAAGGCACCTATTATTCTAAGAAGATGTTTGTGAACATTCTTGTTTATAGAATGCATGCCAGACGTGTTCACAATCTCTGTGATCACACTGTCATTAGAGAGCACTGATCATAGTCAAAATCAAAAGAGCCAATGAGAGTGGTTCTCTGCTTTGTGATCTCTGTGAACCAATCACAGTGATCACAAGTGTAAACACTGGCTGTGTTTACACATAGCCACCCTTCCTCTTCTACTAACAACAGCAGAGGAAAGAAGGAGAGAAAGGAGGATTGCTGCTCAGATGCTCCTCAGGACAGTGACTTACTTTTTGTCTATTTAACAGCACTGAAAGAAAAATTGGGTGAACACAAGAGAGAGGCAGCAAAAGATTATATTCATCAAATCTGAATATAACCCAGGAGTTCATGTTCCTTTCTGGCCTGAACACCTATGTTTAAATACAATGCCAACCTAAAGTTTTATGCCAGGAAGATACTCAAATCATTATTTATTGGACATTAAATATATTATAGCTAAAAATATATTAGAAATGAAAGGCAAATGTAAGCAATCCCAAACTATTGGGTCTTTTTTCCTTGATATTGTATTAAAAGTATAAAAATACATACCTCCAAAAGAAAGCTCTAAAAGATATAAAATTCATTTGAGTACTCAACTGAATGAACAAGTATTTGTCAATCTATCGCAGCACTGAAATGTGAAAAATGGCCTGGAAAGGGAAAGGGTGGAACATGCTGGTATTAAGGTGGTTAAAGTGTTTCTGTAGGCAAAACCTTTTTTTTCTTAGTTTTGGATAGATTAGGGAAGATTTAGAAAGATTCAAGAAAGAAAGTGATGGGAAATCCAAGATTTTGGAGTTGTCCCCAGAACAAAGCTCTACATACATTTTAACTGTACAGTATAGAAAATAATCAAATAAAGCTGCCTCATAAATATAATTACACGCTTTGCCAAGAAGGAGATTATTTGTATAGCAATAACACTCACCGCTAAAGTTTATTTATATAAAACTGATCATTTTAACATATCTATGACTGTAAATTCCTTTAGTTATATGTACATATGAGACATCCCCCTTCCATATGAAGTGCCACACTCAGTGGCGTAACTATAGTCATAGTAATCCAGGCAGCTGCTGGGGGTGGAAGTGGTTAGGTTGTTAAGGCATGAACATAGAACATGTGAAGATAACACAGTGCTGTATCATTGAGGGGTTGGGAGTGGTTGCAGTTGATGACCACCCCTAAACCTCTGTAAAGTATACATAGTAGGAAAGCTGATGTCAGATGCACAAGAGGAGTCTTTGGAATCTTCACAGCTTAGAGAGAGCCCCACCCCCCCATCACATTTTTACTATGGGTGATCTGTAGTTACACTCTGGCTATAATAAGGCATGGTTCACACCTAAGTTGGAAAAGTGCTTTTACATGCCCAACACAAGAAATCCCATGGTTTTCAACGGCCCCTGTTCACACCTCAGCAGAATAACACCAGCAGGAAAGCTCCAGACGCCTGAATAGGTACATGAGCTTCTTTGGGCAGTTAACAGTGCTTTTTTGCCCCATAGACTTTAATTGAAACGCCTGAAACCACGCGTCAGAAGCATGTTGCATATTTTCGTGCAAGTTTTTTGCGTGTTTAAATGCGCGTTCATCCATTGCCCGCATTGTTTCAAAGGCTGCCAGTCAAACCACGCCTCTTCATGTACGCGCGTACAAACGTGCATCAAAATGTACACAAGGCGCATAAACGCGCAAATAACCGCATGCTGAACAAGCGGGTACAAACGCGCAAGAACTGTGCCCTCTAGGTGTGAACCCGGCCTTATTGTAAAACCTTTGGCATGCAACATGTTGATGACTTGGATACATAAGTTTGTGCATAATGTGGTGTCACATTCAATGCCGTATTGATAACCCGAGCCCAACTTGGGTTAAGTAGCCCCCTCATCCATGTACTCATAGCCTAAGAAGCAGACAACAGAAGCCAGTACTTTATTTCCTTATTTCCTCCTGAAAACAGCAGTGCACTCTCTGACCAATGACATCTGTTATGTAATTTCATAGGTGCAGATTCATGATGAAGGATCACTGGTGCCTCTGACTGCTGGTCTCAAAAGATATGCAATGAGATTTGGTGATGTCACTACTGTGCTGCTCACTGTTGCTGGAGAGGAAGTTGTATCGGAGGACCTGCAGTGGAAGTATCTACCTGCTTCTGCCTTATCCATTCTTTGGATCGTTGCTTCTTCCACCACTCCTGCTGCTTCTTGATCTTTAACTACCTGCTGTCCGGCCGTTGTAATTAAACGGCCGGACAGCAGCTTCTTGAGGGCGGGTGGGCGTCTTTAGACGTCCTATCCCGTGCTGCTTGTGCCAGGCGGCGCACGCGAGCGGGAAACCGGCTTTGAATGTAAACAGCCAGCGATGGCTGTTTACATACAATTGCTGGCGATCCCGGGCTCCGCTGTTCCCGGTGTGAGTCCGGGACCAGCACAGCAGCTCGGAGATCGGCCGGAGATCAAACGGAGCTCAGTACACGATCTCCGTTCGATCTCCTCTTCTGAATGCAGGCAGTGATGTATATTACATCACTGCCTGCATTCAGTGTCACTCTCCGGTACAGAAACCGGAGAGAAGCTGGTGAAGCAGGTCTCTGCTTCATCAGCTTCTCTGGGGGTCCCTAGGTGACATTAGGGGTCTTAAGACCCCTGATGTCTCCATAAAGAGGACCTGTCACAGCAAATTGCCTATCACATAGGGAGCTTGCTTGCTCCCTATGTGATAGCAATAAAGTTCAGTGGAAAAAAAAAAAGTTTAAAAAAATTTGTTACAAAAAAAATTAAAATCACATATCAAAGCAATAAAAAAAATTAAAGTGCCCCGCCCCCACGCGCAAACATGCGTCAAGCCCACCTACGTGCAAAAACGCCGATTACATCCATTGTGCCGCACATGTTACATATCGCCGCGAACGTCGGAATGAGAGCAATAATTTTAGGGTCATCAATCACTGATAACACTAAACTGATGAGCGGTAAAAGCTTTTAAAGCATCGCCTATGGTCAATTTTGAGTACGGTAGTTTTTTGCAATTTAACGGGTGGCACAATTTTAAAGCTTGACATGTTTGGTGTCTATTTACCCGACGTGACCCCGTCTTTTATATTTTACCAAAAAAATTGGGTAATAATAAATGTTTTATAACATAACGTAGGGATAACAGGTTTTTTTTCCAAAATTTTCGGTAGTAATTTTATTATACAGTAAAAAAAAACCTTTAGTGGTGATTAAATACCACCAAAAGAAAGCTCTATCTGTCCCAAAAAAATTGTATATAATTAATTTCAGTACAGCGTTGCATGACGGAATAAATGTCAAATTACCGCAGCGCTGAATACTGAAAAATGGCCTGGTCAGGAAGGGGGTATAAACACCCCAGTCAGCAAGTAGTTAACCCACCAGTTATCACATCACCAGTCATCAGGAGGGCAGCTCTAACATGAAGCAAATCCATGCCTCTACCAAGATGGTGGCCTTCACACATAGACACAGAGCAGAACAAGGGATGGTAAGTCAGTAATGAGGGAAAGATCAGTTGCAAGAAGACTACATACAATGCTGGGGACTAGTCCTTTGCCCTCTGCTTGCCATTATTTTGTGTACAGCTTCATCACTACACGTCCTCTTTAGGATCACTAGCTTAAGTCTATGACCAGCTATAGATGTGATGATATCTAAGTTTGGATTTTTTTACCAATTCATATCAAACTTACAGCAGCTGCATAAAGAGTTGTACAAGTATTAATAATGATCAATTCAGTTCCTTCCACGTGGCTCTCGGTAAGGAGACAGCGATTTGAGATGGCCCTTGATAGGCGACAGACGGTAAGCGGTCTGCTCTGCCCTGCGCATATTATACAGCGGCCCCATCAGATGAGACGCTGGACACCTTTATCTTGGACGCAATGAAGGATTGCCTTTCCACACTTCGAATTTCAAACACACTGAAATGTCAGGATTAAATATACAAACAATAATAGATTGATTTATGAGAATACAGTGCACTCCACTGGCCATGAATATAAAGGACACACAGTTCTGCATATCAGGGCTGGACACAGAGTGCCTGACCACATAGCAATGTTCTGATCTATTTATTACTGCTATGTAAATATCACATTTGTAGCTCCATAGGACACAAATTCCTCTTTCTTCTGGAACTGTCTCTTTTTAAGGGCCAATGTAAAGGTCTCCAAAAATGTATATTCAACCTTAGAAGGTCTTTCTTTGTGGCCCTCAGTGGTTTAAAAATTTAAAAAAAATTTAATTTAAAAAAAATTTAATTTAAATAGATCTCAACCCCATAGAAAACCTTTGGAGGGAGTTGAAAGTACGTATTGCCCAGCGACAGCCCCAAAACATCACTGCTCTAGAGGAGATCTGCATGGAGGAATGGGCCAACATACCAGCAACAGTGTGTGCCAACCTTGTGAAGACGTACAGGACACGTTTGACCTCTGTCATTGCCAACAAAGGATATATAACAAAGTATTGAGATGACCTTTTGATATTGACCAAATACTTATTTTCCACCATAATTTGCAAATAAATTTGTTCCAAATCAGCCGATGTTATTTGTCTGGATTTGTTTTCTCATTTTGTCTCTCATAGTTGAGGTCTACATATGATGCCAATTACAGGCCTCTCTCATCTTTTTAAGTGGGAGAACTTGCACAATTGGTGGCTGACTAAATACTTTTTTGCCCCACTGTACCTCCTCATGTATCACTTCCCCCTCCCTTTTAGATTGTAAGTCCTCACGGCAGGGCCCTCCTTACCATCTTGTCTTGAATTGTATTGCGATTGTAATGTCTTCCTTATATTGTAAAGTGCTGCGCAAACTGTTGGCGCTATATAAATCCTGTATAATAATAATAATGCACAGTTTTATAGCTACTAAAACAATACAATTATACTCGTATGTCATCCTTTGGGTATTTCCTGCCTTCTCTCTGTACCAAAATATTTGTATCTTCTTTTTACTTTTTACCATCTGCAGGTTGTTCTAGAGCAGGAGTCCGCAGCACCCCCTGCCCTGCCCCCACCTATCCTTCCCCAACATCAGCTCCATCTGCTATTTTTACCCTAACATTAGCTATGTTATCCCAGAAGCACAGTAAGTATTGTGTTATATCTTCAAAACCATTGCTGACCCTGCCGTTGGAAGCACATTTACATTCATTAACAAAGTGCGCACACACAGAAACCATGCACATGCGTGGGACTGTGTCACAAGAGTGCTGCTGGGTCCGCTGCCATCCCAGGAAAACCGAAGGCTAGCAATAGTTTATGGGCATACATGCGCCAAAAAGGAAGGCAGCATATACAATGGATCTTTTTGCCAAGATTTTTGTTTTTAAGTACGTGGCTCTTTAACTGAAAGAATGTCCTGCTGTGCTCCAGTTGACAAATTCTACATTTCTGTATGTAACTTTGTTGCTCATTACTGGTCATGGCCCCTTTCTCTGGTAAAACATGATGTAAGTTGCAGCTCTTGAGAGATGTAATGTGGCTGCCTCGAAGATTTATTCCACTTAATTTGACTCATTATTTGATTTGAATTTGGCAAGCCTGATTTTAAAGAAACTGTTTCAGATTCAAAAAAAGTGGCTCGATCCTCTAACTCCTACGTCACTACAGAACATGCACCTTTGGAGTCTCCGAACCTGGGAGCTACGTAAAAAAATGGTATCCCTCAACTCTCAAGCTGGAGCCATGACACCCATACTTTTCTTTCTTATATCTTTTAATGGCCAACCGAGAGAAACAAGAGATGGCCGGAGAGGAGGGGGCAGGAGACAGGAAGCCCATTCAGCTCATTATCAAGGCTCCAAATGCCCATCTGCTATGGATAGGCTCGGCAACCGGAATTGGTAAAGTCTGTTTCTGAGGTTTTAGACTCCGTTTAGACTCTTCATAAACAGAGTAAAAGGCGTTAAATGAGGGTGGAGTTGATGGAAATCTCAGTTATCCCTTCCTGATCCTTGAATAAAAACATACCTGGACTAAAGTGGCTTGTTTTATGTTTGGCTAGAGTTCTATCTCGGAAGTGCCCATTATCAGCAAAATCGTTTAAGATCTGCTGATAATTGGCTAGGGTGTAGGCTGCCATTCACATTCTAAGTTGAGAGATATATCTCATTGGCTGTAAAAAAAAAGCTTGTCTGAAAGATGTGATTGTTCAAAGGATGTGTTAAGTAGGTATTAAGTAGGGTATACACGGGACACATTTTGGGTGGTTCCTGATGAACCGGCCAAAATTCTCACAGTGGGTGCCACTGTCAGCACCCTTCTGCCTTTGGAATTCCTCTTTCAAATGATCATACAAGCGGAGCTAGCAGCCTGTGCGTTGGTGGTCACTGTCAGATTACAATGCAAACAATGGGGGATTCGGCCATCAACGCTCATAAGCATTGATGGAACAATCGGTTTGATTTTTTTCGCTTAGCCCACAGATTGAAAAATAGAAATGTCTATACCTAGCTTTCATGCATTCAGGAAATTACTTGCACTAGGTCAGAACTCACCCACATCCGTCAAACTCAGCTAACACCTTGGCCGGGAAAAATCTGGTACAAATCAGTGTATTTGGGTTGTAGGCCCCATTCACACCTAAGCGTGAGCATAGACAAACGATTTAGAGGGGTTTGTATTTGCATTGTAGTAGGGTGGCAGAATTGTGTGTTTTTGACCCCATAATGGTAGTGCCTGAAAAACGTGGCTAAAGACGTGTTTTTCAGGCACTCTCACAGAAGTTTATGGGACCAAAACCACCTGACTGACACTTTTTGAGCTTCAGTTTACAAGACGCACATTAAGGAGAACAAGCACCACTTAAAATCATGTGATTCTTAATGATGAACATTCAGCCAACACCCTCTTCAATACGTCCGGGTGTGAATGGGGTTTCAGGAGTTCTTTATCTATGCCGATATATGGACAGATTTCATGGTCAACTATCTACATCAAAACCCCACCCACACTTACATTGACCAATTTCTATCAGACACCCAGCTTACCTGACTATGCTCTTTCCTTGCTCCGGGAGTAAACCAATGGCTGTGGCTGCAAAAAAAAAAAAAAAATGGAATCATTTGCAAGAAATAAGCCAGTACGATGTAAAGTAGAATTTGCATATGAACTGAACAGATAGCATTTTTCCTTAACATCATTTACATTATTTTATATATTATTAACAATCTTTCCTTAAAGAACAACTCTGTGTAAAAATGTAATTAACCTTTGCAGTGGGGCTACCCCCACACTGCAAGGGTTAAGTGCTCGTTTTTGTCTACCGCCAATCAACCGGAGGATCACCTGATCCTTCGAGACAGCTGGCTGTGACCGTGCCCCTTACTGCAGTGATGGTATGTCTCTCGCTATCCTCACATCCTCTAAACTGTGTATAGAACATGATGATTCAGGGACCTTAGACTGCTGCTGCGGAGGGGGAGACCGGTCTAAGAGCAAGTCGGCTTGCAGGATCAGGTGAGTATAACTTCTTATTTTTGACCCTAGGCATAAACAAGCACTTAAGCCCTGGTGTGTGGGTGTTTGGGGGGGGGGGGGGGGGGGGCGGTAGCCCTACTGCAAGGGTTAATACATTTCTTACCATAGTTCTGCTTCAACATTTCTGCAGGTTCACCATCACATGTGAAAAAATACTATATTGTGCAGCCTCACTTCTCCTGCTGCATTCTTAAACTGGAGAAAGATGGTGGTAGCTGTGACCCAGAGTAAAGAATGTTTGTCTCTTGGGCCATCGATAATCAGGTCATTAAGGAGCATTACAAAATATAGCTGGAGTTCTGCTTTAACTAGAGTTAGGGCATATGCTTGGCCCTCAAGTCCCATTTCAAGGCAGAATTACCAAAAGTTCACATTCCTGAAGAGCTGGAAACTAGGAAAGATTGAAACCCCGGTCCCCATGTAGCCGTATATATTGGATTTGCAATCATGTAAAAGCACGGTCTCCATGAGGGACGCATATTGGATTTGTAATAAAATAAAAACATTCTGCCTCCCGGCAGATTATGTCTGCTTTACACTTTAGGACACGATCAGTATATTTTTACACTGGATTGGATCTATAAAAAAACAAAGCCGCTGCCAGCTTAATCCCCGCTATTTAATGGAGAATAGCCTCAAAATCTTGCAGCCGCCGCCGCAGTGATGTACGGCAGGGTGGACAGATTTCTGGAGGAAGGTAACAGAGGACCTACAGAATTACTGCTGGCGCCTAACTTTTTGTAGCCTTTTCTGCTGCCATATATCAGTGGAGTCACATGCGAACCAGCGTCTATAAATCCGACGGCTAGATCTGTGGCTGCACGGGTTGGCTCCTAAATTCTGTATTAAAGTGACCTATCGAAAAAAAGAAAATGCCACTTTCGGTCTTTAAAAAAGTACTCTGGGCAAAATTGTTATTAACCCTTGCAGTGGGGCTACCCCCACACTGCAAGGGTTAACTACTCGTTTTCATCTACAGACTAAAATAAATAAAAAAGTTATACTCACCCGATCCTCAGAGCCAGTCAGCTGTCACAGTGCTCCCTCGAGCCTCTCTCCCCATCCACTGCAGTGATGGTACACAACGTGATGACTTAGAGACCTTAGCCAACTGTAGTGGAGGGGGAACGATGCTTGAAGGACCAGTCTAACAACAAGCCGGCTTGGAGCTTTGGGTCAGTATAACTTTTTAATTTTAGTCCCTAGACAAAAACAAGCAGTTAACCCTTGCAGTGCGGGGTAGATAATTGCCGGCTTTTTATTCTTTGCATACCTTATTTTTCTTTTCCTCCCTATTCTTCTCACAGTGGGCATTTTTACTAAGGGCAGATTAATATATCTCCCTTTACTTCCTGGAACTCTGGTACATGTGACTAGGACATGTGACCATGCACATCATCTCAGGGCAGAGATGCCTTTCCCTGAGATCTCAGAGCAGCAATGTTCTGCTGATGTAACCTTCCCAGGATGCAACGCTTGGGCACATTACATCACTAATGACCAAGAGGATTAGGAAGTGGGGAAAACAATAATTGTAAGAAAAAGAAATTTGTGTTTGTTTAACTAATGAATGTAAGATGGCTTCATATCAGCATGCAGAGCTGTTTTTTAGGGAAAGGCGGTAATGAATATTTTCTTAGCCTGAATCATGAAAACTAATGCAGCCACCACATCTAAGGACTGGTAAAATGCAATATATTATATTTTTGTTCTCGGGTTTAGTTATCTTTTAAATGATCAGTGCATATGCTCACTTATAATCTAATCTACTGATGAAGCTCTACCTACATGGTCATGGCGGGGGTTGGCATCTTCTGTATTTAGTAGGCTATATTGTACTTTGCATTGGTGCACACAATGGTGCCCATTCAACAAAAATGTATGTGTGTTTTGACCTAAAAATGTTATAATAATGGTGATTTAAAAGCTGCAGGGGTTAATTTAACTGTAGATTATGCTGCAGAAAAAAAAGAAGAGCAGAACATAAGCCCTCTGGGCGCTTCTCGCCATGGCTAAAAACATGCCATTTTTCGCCCGGCCGTCCCTCTGTAGAAGCCGGTTACCGAGAAGGCTCTTTGTTATAGCTGTAAGTTCATGAGAATTGATGCTAGTCATTAATCTCAGATGCAGAACCCTAGTCAAATGCTTTGTGAAAGTCCACGTTTGACATCCACATTATTCCCCCAGTCAAGCGTATCTTATTCCAACGCACAGCATAATTAATTGCTCCTGCATTTAACCACTGAACTGGCTATATTTGTAGGGGATGTAAAGTGCTCTGACCTTTTGCATAAAAATTCAAATTCCCAAAGGACAGATAACAATACGGCAATATAACTAAAAAATTTCAAAACAGATTTATTAAATGCGATTGACCCACTTTTGCAAAATCGATAAGCTTTTATATATATGATTGCACGCACGCCACTGGACCTGCTTACCAAACATGGAAACTGCCAAAGCATTAAAGCAGTGATTTGCACCTTGCATCATAATTTAAAAAAACAAAACACTATTTGTACACCTTAGACAATAGAAGGGGAATGGAGGTGCTTTCCATCCATGCATAAAACTGAACTGAAGGCCAAAAAATAAATAAAAACAAACACAAATTTATGTGCGTCCTTAAAAAAAAATAATTACATTTATTTTTAAAAGCAAATAGTTGAAGTCTAAATTTAGCTTGGTATCAGTCTCTTGCAATCCACTGTACAGCAGAACTCAAGTTTGGAAAAGAAGAAGCAGCACAGCGTCGGACATTGCAGCTGCCACACGTCGTCTCTATACAGACAGCTGAGAGACCATGTAACCGTGTTTCTCTTTAAAACAAGCAACCGCTGAAATGACTGTGTTGAAAAGTAATAGTTTTTCAAAAAGAACAGCTAACATACAAACAAAGCGCCTGACAACCTTACAAGCTATGTGTATGTCCCCCCAACAATATGCTGAGAGCCAGTAATACAGAGCAATAAAAGCACCGCATGGTGGAACCAGCTTTGAGTGCAGGCATCTGATAGTTAGGGACACCAACTACCACAAATAGTACAGAAATGATGAGACTTGTCCTGCAATAGCACCAGCTTCTCATCATGCAATGACAATGAAAGTAACACTTACTCGGTATCCTGGGAGAAATGAACAAGGCGATCAGTACTGCTCGCTCCGGGGTTGCTGATCTGTAGAGAAACGCATGCAATCATTGTTAGTTTTCTTTAGTCCTCCATATATATTAAACAACACTGCAAGCACATAAATACCAGCATCCACTGCTTTAAAACTGAACAAATTCACATATTTCCATTTCTAGGAATGTATTCTTCACTTTAGGATTTTTAGGAGACAATACTATACACCTGTGTGGGCAACCATGCACCCAGAAACACCCAGAACTGCTGCAAGGCCATAGGGAAGCTGGTTTTTAAAGAAGAACACCAACCAAAAATAACAAGATTAAAAAAAAAAAAAAATCAGCTTTTGCTGCAATATTCACCTTCACCGCAGAAATATACCCACAGTATTGTTTTTTCTGCCACAAGACATCTTAAGTCTGATGAACAGCATTACTCAACCTACTTCCTCTGAGTCCAGGTTGCCCTGGACCTGCCCCCAGCCTGTGACTGGACAGTGAAAGGAGAAGCAGCACAGTAATGAGCTCATCTCTCTGCCAACCTGCTCTATTCGCCTATCAGCATACTTATTGTCAGCACATAAACTGATTGACTCCTTGTTATGTTTCTCTCACACTTCAGCCCTGCTGTACAGAGACTGCAAGAAGCTGACACCAAGTCACATTCCGGCACTTACACTGCTTTTTTTTAATGTATTGATACAGTGTCTCTAGGTGCTGGTTGTTCATGACAAGACCGGGGTGGGGTGGTATGATGGCGGTGCAGGGGGGTGGTGTGCACAGATACAGTGACAGCTCCTTTTAATGGAGACATTAGGGGTCTATTAGACCCTCAAGGTCGTCTATAGACCCCAAAGAAGCCGATGAAGCGGGGAAATTACACACTAAAACCAGATGTGATGCAATACACATCGCTTCCAGTGATCGGAGAGGAGATCAGCTGCTGCAAGTGCGATGGACTCCCCCCAACAAATGTACACAGACCTGCCGTGCCGGACTCGGGACCACACAAGGGACAGCAGAGCCCCGGATTGTCAGCAGCGGCGACAGAGCCGCACACTCCCATGCAATATACAAGCGATCGGGCGGCTCTATAGGTCCCAAACTCTTCTATTTATGCAATAGAGTTACAATTCTCCCCTGCTAACTTGAATAGGTTAAACCATGATCCATAGTACATCGGTAATTGGTATCGGCAAGTACATGAGGGGATGTACTTGTACTTGGGCCTGAAAAAGTGGCATCGGGACATCCCTATATTTAATACAGCTTCCTGATCACAAGGGAGAACACAGTCCCTAGCAGACATCCACCTCCTAGCTTGGAGAAGGGAGGAAGGAGGATTGGTGAACAGGGGAATGTCTTGCCTCGCTGTGTCTATGTATTTGTGAAGACACACACACCACTTACTAGCACACACAAGGAACCC